CCTTAAAGGAATGATTATCACTTGCATGCCATGTAGTGTTCAGTAAAGAGAGGATATGAAGGATGTCTGATGCTTTTTTCTATTTTTTTTCCTACTTGTTCACGCTGAAATTGTTGCTTGTTTGAAATTATTTTTTAAAGAAGGAGCAGACGTACGATTTTTTTTCTTCATCCTGCACCGTTTTCATTCCGTGAATGATATACTTTTATTTCATTTCTGCTTGTTTTGTTTCTTTTAATGAATGAAATAAATGAACAAATAAAAAAAAATAAAAGTTTTCAACAAATCGTACAATCTGTTATTGCTCAAAATACTGTGTGTGGATGACTCTCAGCTACTCTCACACCAAGTTTTAGCTCAACATCTGTAATACTGACTGTTGTAGTGATGTTTGTGTATACTAAAAACGGATTGGTTATATAGTGGCCATTTCAAATAAGATGACTCCAAAAGGAAATAAGTTGTAAATGCACATCCAACCATTACTGGGTCATCCCACCATTAATGACTCTTTAAAAATTTAAATAAGATATTTAGCTAACAGACAAAGACAAACACACAAACTCACTCACTTCTACACAGACTCAGGAACTAACACGATCACCCAGCTTGCATGGTATCAGGCAATTATWACCAGTTTAAAAATGATCTACTTTCTTTTTTGCAACCTTTAACCACACTGTGGTGGTACTTAGTATCATACATAATACCATGTCTCACCATGGTGTGAAGTTCAACTACCAACAATAAGTTTGATCTCTTAGTGAGAAATTACCTTTGGAAGGAATATTGGCATAAAATACAACCAAACTAATTGTACAAGTTGTTGTAAAACAAACCAAGAAATGAAAGTCAGCAAGAAACTTCTGAATGTGTAAAAAAACACAAGCTATCCTTTGCACATCACCACATAGCACCTAACAATGGAAAATAAAGAAATCAAATTTTCATTCCATGCATGCTATAATAAACCATGTGTGTTTTAGTACGGTCCAAAGTGGCGTGAAGGGGCCAGAGGAAGCAATGCAGACAGGACTGTAAAAACTCTGCTGAACATGTGGTCTCTGATACTGAGACAGCTTTGATAACCATCGCCYTCTGAGTCACAGAGGGACAACTGACTTCTCTCCACAAACTTTTACGACGTATAAGATCATAAAATCCAGAGAAAGTCAAATACTGGAAAGGCAGCAGTAAATCAACAGGCACACATGGTTTCACCTAATCCCATTTTTGTACCATGGAGGACCTAAAATATCGAGCAATTAGGAAAAGTCATGAGTATGCAGTACCAACTGAAGATTTAAGACCCCAACAGGCTTTGGTTGTGGAGTGAGTAAAACCAAAATTTACTGTACATCTGTGCATTTGGAGAAAGWTTGTTCAAAACCGACTTGCTTTGTAAAAAAAGGAAAGAAACCTAGACAAGTGAAAATCTATTGGTTTAGTGTATGATTTGAATTCAGAGCTAATGACAAAAAGGACTCTTATGGATACATTTTTCCAAAACAACTGCAGCTTGTATCTTATGATACCATTTAAAGTTTTATCTTACTTTTTTCAAAATAATCAAAGTTTAATGGCAAAATTCAGGAAAAGGCAAGACAAACACAGAATAACTGGGGAAAATTACTCCATTGTGTTGTTTCGGTTTCGAGGGCACAAAGTGACAATGTGCACACACAAAACAGGCTAAGTCGTTGTTTCCCAAAACCTGTATAATTTGTTTCTACATGAATCCACTCGAAATGGAGTTGAAAAAAAAATCACTTTAATTTTTTTTCTTTTGTAAAATTACAATTTGTAAATAGAAGGTGAGCAAACAAAAGGGTGTTTGTTAGATAATAAAAATAAGAATCTGTCCCTGTTCCAGTCTTACCCGTGGGAACAGACTCCAAACACCCACCACAATCAAAGGGCAAAGASGGCGCAAAAACTGAAGTTAGTCTTTTACCATTACCAATTTGTATTAAGTATGCAATAGTAAGTAGAAGTGAGTCTTATTGTACACTTCCTAAAGAAGAAGCTACTGTATATTTATTTATACAGAGCGTATGCAATTTAGGGTGGTATTCAATTTGCTTTGGTAATGTGWGGTTATCTTTATATAGTAATGCTACAAGCAGAGTGCTATGGGTATCTGAATGACAGCCACATTTAACATAAAATAGTATGAGAAACTGTGCAGGTAAAGCTTTAATGACTACATTACTTATTTGCAGAGCGAAAGGAACCACCAAAGAGAAACGTGGAAAAAAAAAACGATTAAAAACTAAAAAATAGAATAAAAATTGGAAGCAGATATAACTGTGGCTTCTGCTTTTTTACATTTACACTTTGGACAACCATTCTTCCATGATTACTCAGTTTTAGTGAAAGGTCTATATCTGTTTCACCTCAAACAGTATTTTCCACCTCCTATTAGACACAGCTCCACAGTTTGACAATAATAGTGTGTAGTAATAGGCCCAGTACAAACACACGTTTCACTTTCACAATCCTAAAACTCAAATGTTGTCCTATTTTCAGCCTCCTTTTTTAGCAGTGAATACATCTSATTTAAGGGCTGTCAGAACCAAGGCCAGATTAACACTTCACTGTACCCTGGGCAACAATATTCAAGGGTCCCATCATCATGACCCCAGGTTTACCATAGTCTGGCAAAAATACAGAGTAAATTACCGTAATACATAGTAAATATACTCAGTACTTCAAATTCTAAGTGTATTTTGATGTACAAATGTGCAAGTACTCATAGTACTATAAATGCACTACTATGTCATCTTGTCACAGACACTCACTCTCATATGATGCTCTGAAAAAAAAAACAGTATAATCTAGTGCCATTGACCCACTACACTGTGATCGAGGGAAGTGTCCTCCATTTTCACAAAAGCGAAGCTTGACGTCACACAACCCTCTCAATGTATCAGTGTCACCTGACCCGCCTCATGCAGACTGACCAATGAGGAGAGGGTCTCAACTCACGTTCACGGTCACATGCAGCCTCTCCGTGCAGCGCCACAGCTCCAGCAGACAGTGTAACAAAAGCAGGAAATATCCAGATATTTTGCTAGTGCCCTCACTCATAATTGTAACCATCATCTCAGAGGACTATTCAGTGATTTATCATCCTCTCTCATTAAATCATATCTCTCCTTTAGTGACTAAAAACACATACTGTATAATCACGAACAACCATAGTCCAGCCCCAGGAGATCGACTTTAGTTCTTTAAACCATTTACTAACAAAATCTAAAGTCTTAGCTGCCAAAAAGTAGCCAGATCATTAGGTGCCAAATGGAAAACACCATTACTGTAAGCAAATTATTCATTAGCTCACAAAATGGATTGAAATCGAGATGGTAACAAGCCACATGATTTAACAGAATGGCATAAACATAGAAAGTGACACAACACTAAACACATCAACATTTTAGTCAAATGTGATTTCTAAGAAATGTAAAATGAATGGAAATAAATCATGGCTGCAGCATGAACCAGAGGGAATGTAAACAAACATAGTTCCAGAACTCATTTGCATGTTCACCCCTCTCAGGTCATGTTTACAGTTTGTTTTTGAGTAAATCTTTAGATTAAAATGTTACCCTGTGTTTAAATGTTAGTTTTAAATTTCTCTGTTCAGGGTGGATTAAGTGTTTTGCTTTTTACTTCTTTCCTTTTTTTGCCAACTAGCAGCCTAATAGATTCATGTTTTGTTATATTTTAAAAATATGTCCAAGTTTAATTATGTGTGAGAAATCTACAATTTTCTGTTTATTCAGTAGGTGTTTAATACAGCTGGCAGAATAAATTTAATAAAGTATAATATTGTACCTTTTTTAATTTATTGTTTTCAAAATTAGCCCTTCATGTCACAGAAAGACCCTGGATTCAAGAGAATTGTCAGGTTTTTAGGAAAATGGTCACTTGTTATTTAATCGTTAGTCGATCAATAAGATCAATCAACTTTAGATTGACTCATTAATCTATAACTTGCATCCCTACTAAATACATTGTAGAAACTACATCTTTAAATATCCATGTCAGTTTTTGCTTTTGAACTAAGACAATCAATCATCTCTTAGTTAACTAAATAACAAAATAATATTATCAGTTCAAGAATTATCTTGAACCAAAGTAGAATTACTTAAATCAAAATGAAAAAAATCTTTGCAGTGAGAAGTAGCGTACTTTTAAAATATCTGTGAAAATTTTGTCCCAATACTTGCCTGTTTTCTCCCTGCAATTCTTAAAGTCTGAGATATCATCAAACCGTGATTTCAACCTCCATGTTTGAGTGGGGGGTAAATTCTCTGAAACTCTGTTACAAATTGTGTCAAAATAGAGATTTCAAACTATACACAAGTTTTTTTTAATTGTGTCGACAGGCCAAGTAAAGGTGGAGTTATGGTAAATAGTATATGCCACTTTTTTTTCTAAAAATTTGTATTTGAAGCATGTTGCAGTAGCCTGGTAAAAACCAGACCCTTGTCCTTCACTTTGCTTTGTACGAGGGTCTGGACTCGCGGCAAGAGAAGCGATTCTTGCTGGAGGCGTGGTCTCTGCTGATGTTTAAAATGATGTCGCTGTGAAGGAGGCTAAGCTAAGAAGCTAACCGGAAATCGTGTGCGCTATAAACAACTCTACTGAGAGGAGAGAAGTACCAAGTCGAATGAGACGACTGTAAATGAGAGCTGCTGCTTTGTCAGACAAATTTAATTTAATTTGGAAGCCTTATCAACACAAACTGGCTTCATTCACTTCCTCCACTGCCGTATGCTAAACTAACTAGCACACACTGCGCAGAACATCGACGTCATTCAAAACTCCTCCTTCTGTTCTCTGATTGGCCCGGACGAAATTCTCCTGAAGAAATCCTTGTCTATGGGAGAAATCCCAGACGGAGCAGTGAAGGGAAACTGCGTAGGAAGGCAAGGGCCAGGCTAGTGATGCAGTTGCAGGCAGCAGGAAACACACGTTTTGGGGAGGTTTTACAATCTGTCTCAAAAAATGCAAATCGGCGAACCTACAACAAAGTAAAATTGTTTAACAACCTTTTTTTTACTTAAAAAACTATGTATCCAGAAGGAAACAGTATTAGATAATTACGCCTTCCCCACTGCTGATAGGTATTGGAAAAGAGSTTACACTTATAAAAGTTACTCCTTTGATTTAGGGAGTGAAAAAAAATAAAAAATAAAAAAGGCAGAAAGAATGGAAATGAGGATGACTGTGGGAAAGCAGAGTTCTGAGAACCTATATATATTTATATATATTTTTTTTATCACAGACATATTTGATTCAGCTCTAATATACAGCAGCRGAAGTACTGTGGTGAATAACTACAACGTAAGATATTTATTTTGACTCAACATCAAGTAATTAATAGTGATCGAATCATGAATATAGACAATATCAAGCTTTTATTATCGAGGTGTTTTCTCTCATATTTACTGTATTAAAATGTATAGATGTATTTGAAAGGAAAGAAAGTGCAGCTGAATGCTACCTTTTGTTCAAGGCTGCTTGGTCCACCACTTCTGCTTGGCTTATGGTTGACTTTCTGGAAACCAGCAGTTGTGGACCAACAACTTGGGTTCTTTCTTGATGGTTCCTCTTGACCAACCACAATTTCACCTGGATGAAGGTCAGCCAAGGAGGGATCGCTGCTGCGACGGACATTGAGAGACATGCCTATCATGGGGAAAACAGAGTGAAAGGATAGAGATAATTTTAAAATGCAGATTTTTTTGTTTTGTTTTGTTTTGTTTTAATAGCATAACATGTTGCTTTATTCAAATATCAGGCAATTTTTTTGATTTCAAAATAATGTTCAACGGTCAAGTCAAACTTTACYTAGCTTAATGCATTACAGCCAGGAAGTAATCTAATGGGCTTACTAATGAATATAAACCAAAAGTCAGATAATGTATTTAAAACTGAAGTTTACAAAAAATTACATACACATTGTAAATATGTTTACACTGTCACAGAATTACAAAAGTGCACAAAATACAAATACAAACGTTTATAATAAAAGCTAACACAAGGCCGTTTTAATTTTCTAAATTGTCAGAAGATTATTAAAGGTACAGCCATAGAATATTTGTATATTCATGATAGTTTTTCTTCTGTTTCTAAAGGGCCTGTAAATGAAGTTATTCTTTTTTATATATAAAATTGGACCAAAACTTGAGCCTTGAGGTACTCCACAAAAAATACCCACTTTTTTTCTAAATAAAATCACCAACAAACACAATGAAATATGTCTTCTGACCAGAGATGCCAAATCAAATTTCTCACCTGTCCAATAAAATGTTATAGTCAAGTTTGTCAAATGTGGAAATTAAGAAGTACAAAAGTAAAGTGTTTTTTTTTTTTTGTATTATGGTAATATTGAAAATCAGACTTCAAAAAATTCAGATAAAATCTAAAGATAACTTTCTATCTGATTGTAAAAAAATTTTGCATAAAGCACTGTGAACTTTAGGACAAAAATATTGAGACAACTAAAAATCCGTGTTTGGAAAAAAATGCAACAAATCRAACATTGAGTTCATCCATTCTCTAAAAATCTGCAAACACTTAAAGAAGCTTCAGAAAGTTTACAGATATTGGCATGGGGTCGTACAACCAATATAATCCCTCCCATCAAACATCTGTAAGAAATTCACACTCAGAACAGTGACAGATGGTAGAGCTGTCACAATGACCAATCTGTATCCAAACTTTGTTTAAAGCCGTGAAAGCATATGATGAGAACGTAATTGCTTCGCACTTCATACTCTGGGCAGACATAAGATAAAAACACCATTGACACCGTAAACTCAGGAAAGACGGTAAATATATCAACAAGCTGTGCTGTATTTTCCCTGAAGACCATATGGATTTGTTTATAAAGTTAAAGCAGCTTGAGTGTTGTGCCCACAATTATGCAAATAGTTGGAGAACCACCTGTCATCCATCATTGGATCACTGCAGTGAGCATATGCCAGTGCTAAGCTTCCATCTGATTCACCTGAGACATGGTTTAGTGTTGGAAGCAACACATTTTAATCATGGCTTACAGGTTGAGTGTTTGACATTGTGACAAGACTAGGAGAGTTTTCCCTGACTGCCTGCAGGTAGACAGGTAGGAAGTTAATCAAAGTATGTGACTGAATCTCCAGAATAACACAGAGACCAACCTGTATTATTTATTGGCTGTATAATTAGATGAATCWTTCACACTATTTTCCAAGGGACATACTCATCTTACTTTTGAATTTAGAGGCCCCTGCTCATATGGGTCCTTTATTAATCTCCACTCACCATTAACCAGATATTCTAAACCTATGGGCCACAGCCCATTTGTGGGTCGCGAGCACCACCRTGAGGGCCTCAAAAGAACAACAGTTTTTAACTTTGAAAAAGAAAAAAATTGTATAGGTCTTCTGGACGGGTTCTTCTCTATAGACCTATACAACTTTTTTTTCTTTTTGATTTTTTACCTGGATTACTGAGATGCATCAGGACATTTTTAATTTTGGGCTGCAGAGGGCCACAGGACCACATTGATTTTGAATAAGGTGCAATACACTTTCTCACCATTAGTAGCGAAAGTGCTAGTGCTAGTGAAACGTTTTAACATGTAGAAGAAGAACCTTAGATACCAGCCGAGAGCGGAAACCTATTTTAAATGAAAKGTAGAAAGCAAAAATGAAGGTAATCCATAAAAAAGACAAAGTTTGACACTAATATGAAGAGCAGCTTCTGGTTTTACCATTCAATATTTTAAAAGGTCAAAACGTTATCACATACATCAAAAAGAAAAAAATAAGTAAAGTAGGCGATGCATCAGGACATTATCACATTCAGTTGCAGATACAGCTATATTTTAATTTGCACTTTATGGAATTAATTTTTGCAGTTTATTTTTAAACATTTTGAATGTATTTTAAAGAAACTTTAAACTTGTCAAAAAGCTCTTGTTACTATTAATGTTTGTCACTAATATGAAGAGCAGCTTCTGGTTCTACCATACAAAAGTTTCAAAAGGCTTTATTTTCATTGGCACTTTATCAAATTTAATTTTACAGTTTTTTTGAACATTTACAT